GTACATGTCGATCTCTATTTACCTTAGGAGTTGAGTGTACACAGTTGTTAGCAGTAATAATGTATTGGACGTACGTCAAATTAATTCTATCATATCTATCGACTAGCTTTCGCCCCGTCTTTACACGAGTGTGAATCTCTTAATTAGTAAGATGTAACTGCTAAACAATGTAGGAATGTAGGAATCATTGGTAATCAACGTCTATGTGACAGACTCGACCCATTGGCTTTGCGGCGAGATATTGCATCTCTGTGCATTTTCTACCGCATATATCACGGGGAGTGTTCTGAGGAATTGTTCGGATTAATACCAGCTGCTGAGTTTCACCACCGTACCACCCGCCAGACACTAAAATACCATCCTGATCATCTGGATGAATGGCGGTCCTCCACAGTGCGGTTTTATAGAAACTTTTTGAAAAATAAATAAAAAAATCTCTGAAGAATGTCAGCAGATATCATTCTATTTTACAATATTGTTCTGTAATTGTACAGCACGTTATCATGTGGCTCCAATATATTCTATTATAATAATAATAATAATAATAATCTCAGGACAATTCACACAGCGCCATGTAGACCCAAGTTAAGCTAGCTAAAGCTTGTGTTATGGGTCGAGTACCCAAACTGATTACAAATACATAGATAATAGTTTTTTCGTAAATACATACATATTATACATAGAAAATACCCTGACCGATACAAACGATCATACTCATGAATACAAATGTTTGCATCATGTTTGCATTGGAGGAATTGAACCCGCGATCATCGGAAGTAAAGGGGTAAGCTAAACCGCTGGACCACTTAAACTTTGTTTTCAGATGGAAGTACTTTCGATTATATAGTAGTGGGAGCAGGGTCTGCAGGCAGTGTGATAGCCAACCGACTTACTGAGGATCCCAACATAACGGTGCTCCTAATAGAGGCTGGGGGAGATCCACCAACGGCCTCTGTTGTAAGCAATTTATAAAGTAGTCTCTTATTACGTTGTATTCTTCTTTTTAATCTTTTACATGTAGGAAATTTCTTAACGTATAATCTCTTGTATTCTTCTTTTTAATCTTTTACACGTAGGAAATCTTATTTTTATTTATTTGGAATGGTAATTAAGCTGCCTAAGTGCTAGCCGTCGCTGATATGCATTAAGTGTGTGTTCATCACGTTATCATGTACCATCCGTGATATCATTCATTGTGATTCCAGAGAGTATATAATAATAACAACAGAAAATAAGGGATTAGCTTATAGATGTTTAATAAAGCAGAGCCCCGTGACAGAAGTGTATATAAAACAAATGTATGAAAAAAATACTTACGTTTTAAATAGGGATAAACGAATATACAAAACTGCCAGTTTCTAGGAGCAAGAAATGGTAGTTTATTTTTTTTCGCCTGTGTGCCAGAATGATTATGTTATCTGTGATACAAATAACAATCAGTGATATGAACTTCCTGTATACATATGAAGTGTTAAAAAAATTTGTTTGTTTAAAATTCCTCGTTAAACTTCATCTGATTTTACAATTATAATGTAAAAAGAAATTAATTTCCAATAGTAGATGGCGTATTTGAAATTAATCAATTAACAATATTAGTACTGATTTTATAAGATTTCTTTCTAGCCTTAACCGTTGACCTACTTTTAACAGCATTCTGTGAAAAATTCATTGTTATTCGTGTACTTGTTTCTATATGAAACATTAATACAAGAAGTGGACAAACGAACAGTTTTGGCTTCATTACGATTGTATTATATACCGTCTGTACCCGCGGTTTTATCCGCGTTAAATTTATAGCCTATATGTTATTCTCATATATAAGCTATATTACCGTTAAAGTTTCATTAAAATCCGTTCAGTAGTTTTTGCTTGAAAGAATAACAAACATCCATACTCACAAACTTTCGCGTTTATGAAATTATTAAGATAAATTTGGTATCTACACAAATATAATGATCATGTCTAATCAGCTTCCAGGTTTGATGGCGTATTTAAAAGAATCCCAAGTTGATTGGAATTACACGTCACTGGAAGAAAATGCCCAACGATGCCATAACAATCATGTCTCTGATCTCACACGCGGTAAGATGTTGGGAGGCTGCAGTAGTAATAACTACATGGGCTACGTTCGTGGTGACCCCAATGACTATAATACTTGGGCTGCCATTACCAATGACCAGTCATGGAATTATGACAACATTCTGCCATATTTTATTAAAAGTGAAAATCTTCTAGACCAGGCTATTCTCAATTCCCCTAACAGAGTATTCCACGGTACTAAAGGTTACCTAAATGTAACTAGACACCCATCAAACACAACACATAAATATCTGAAGGCATTAAAAGAATTAGGACATAATATTGTGTTAGATACAAATGGAAATTATACTTTAGGATACGCCCAACCAATATTTACAGCCGCCAATAATGTTCGACAAAGTACTGCGCAATCATTTTTAAGTACAATAAAAAATAGACCTAATTTGTATGTCGTTAAAAATAGTTTAGCTACAAAAATAATATTTGATAACTACAAAAATGCTATTGCTGTCAAACTAGTAAACGAAAGCAACAAAATCATTATAGTAAAAGCGAACAAAGAAATTATAATATCAGCTGGAAGTATAAATACTCCTCAATTACTCATGCTTTCGGGTATCGGTCCAAAAGAACATCTGCGAAATATTGGAATAACTGTTATATCAGATTTGCCGGTGGGTGAAAATCTTCAAGATCATGCTCCAGCATTATTGGTTTATACTACAGAAAAGACCAAACCTAAAGGACCCATTGACCCACATGAATACCCGGTACCTATGACTATTGGTTATGTAGCTTTAAATAAGTCCCAAACTTATCCAGACTATCAAGCCATAACTCTAATATTGGATAGCTCCTCTATTCTGCAGTTTTGCGCCTTTACATTTAACATTGATTACAATATTTGCCAACGATTATACGAAGACAGTAAGGGAAGGGAGGTACTTCTTGTCATCTGCTCCAAACTCAATCCAAAATCTCGAGGGCGTGTGTTCTTACAAAGTGTAGATCCAACGAAACCTCCATTAATTAAACTGGGAGCCTATTCCGCGTACACAGACATAGATGACACTATTGCTTATGCAGACGATTTCAATCATATACTGGGTACGAAATATTTCAAGAGTGTTAATGCTAAATTGTTAGCACCAAACTGCCTGGGTTTGGAACAGGGCAGTGAGGAATTCTGGCGGTGTTATATACCGTGTATGACATCATCAATATATCATTATGTTGGGACGTGTGCTATGGGTTCAGTAGTAGATACACGTCTCCGAGTGTCTGGTGTGCAAAGATTAAGAGTAGTAGATGGTAGCGTGATGCCAGTTATTACTAGTGGGAACACCAATGCACCTATTATTATGATTGCTGAAAAGGCCGCAGATATGATAAAACAAGATAACGCAGAACTGTGATTGCGAGAATTTATTATGCATACAATAATAATTTTGTGCGTGATAACAAATAGTGTGATGTATTTGCTCTTTTTAATTAAATAAATGTAAGAATAATTTATGAACTACACAATGGAATGTGTTTTATTATAAATATAACCTTATGATTTATCTATGTAGATACATACTACAATAGCAGTATTATATAGGTGTACACTGTTTTTAGATATTCATTAAATGAAATTGCTACTAAAGCAGAACATAAATTTATAATAGCTATAGATGACAAAATATCATGTACCACAAATAAATATTAAACACAATTTTAAACGAAGAAAACATATTGCGTAACTTAAACAAACATATCTGTACAAATAAAAGAATAGATTACAGAGCTACTTTCCATTTAAATTAAGTCTAGTGATAGTAGTAATTATAAATGTAATTTATTCGATTGAACACTTACAAATGAGACATACAATAACAAGATACTTAAAATATATTGAGCAAAAAGAACAATAATACTGTAAGAAATCATCGTACCAGCAATGTATTTATTAGTTAATGTATATAACGTAGTAATAATATCATGGTCAGGACAAGAAAAATCGACTTAATTCGAATTAAGGATAATTCAAAAATTCCTAATCACATTTAGCTCAAATTTATTTGGAACCACAGGACGCGCACTAGTTTTTAGACAACATGTATATCATTTAAAATATTTTTGTGTTTATTCCTATGCAGCGCGATGGATATCACCTCACAACTGTAGTATTATGTATGATGTAGTAAGGTGTCGCTACGCTGTAGTATCTAGACAGTGAGTATACAGATGGAATAATTAAACTACATTAGTAAGTTTATTTGATAGTGTGCTAACTCTAACGCTAACGCATGCACTCAATACGGAGTTGTAACGTGAACTGACTTTCGACTGAATTTAAATCCAAATAAATGTAAGACAGCTGAGTGTTGGAGTAAATATTACAAACGTAGACACAACTAGTTTCAATTATCACATAGAAACAAAATGTAGGTGACACAAATAAAAAACTATACCGCAATAAATATGGTTCTTCCTATTTTGAAGGTGGTTAAAAATGAATTTGACTTAAGTTAATGGAAATATTTTCACTTATGTTCTCTCTTAGTTTGGCATTCACTGTAAAATTAAGATATTAATAGTTTATACATTTATTTTTACTTATAATACAACTTTAGATATAGATGTCTTGTAAATGAATTGTATTAAAAAAAATATTCGTTACAATGATTACTAATTTATCAGGATTACAAAGATTGATCCGAAAAATCCGGAGTTAAATTATGGTAATAGACGCTTTAATAAAATTTCCTTTCTTACTATGCAATTTCTCAACATTTATTTAATTTTGAGTAAGTGTGCATGGCTATACATATACTTATATTAAGTGTAAATGACTTCTTTGATTAAGTTACTTGAATAACAATATTAAAACAATTACAAACTACTCTAATGGCATAACAAGACATATATAACAAACTTTAAGGTATCGTTTAAAACAGATATACAAACCACTTCATTTAATTAGCATTGTCCTCCTTAATCATTTGGGCCGCTTTTTCTCCAATCATGATAGTTGGAGCATTCATGTTCCCACTTGTAATGATAGGAATAACGCTAGAGTCTGCCACTCGAAGGTTTTGAACTCCAATAACGCGCAGCCGCGAATCAACAACTGAACCCATGGAACAGGTGCCGACAAAATCAAAATACGAATAAGACATACTTGACGCGTAGTACTTCCAGTAATCTTTACTACCATGTTCATGAGTGCAATCTTGAAAGTTCAAATAAACAATTTTTGCTCCGGCCTCTCTAAATGTCGTTGTATTAACCACACTAATATAGTCTTCAACATACTCAACAATATTTTCAAGATCTTCTTTATCACAGAACATTCCAGCTTCAATCACTGGAGGGTCCAAAGGATTTGTGCTTTTCAATGAAACCTTTCCTCTAGATTTTGGATGCAAAAGGTTGATGACGCCAAATAATATCGGGCTATCGGCTTTTTGTGGATTTAGTTGATCACAAACTGATTTCTTATAATCCCAAGTTAATTCACAGTACATAGGAAATGCTTCAGAATTTACAACATAATTTAATGCTTGGTAGTCAGGGATTTGGGATTGTTTGTTTAATGTTACATAACCATGGGTCATGGATACTGGATAATCATGTGGGTTAGGAATAGTAGTTGGGTTTTTTAAATTCTCCATAGAAATTATTACCGGAGTACCGGCATGATCTTGTAAATTGTCTCCAACAGGAAGATCTGAAATTGTTTTAATACCCAATTGCTCTAGATGTGTTTTCGGCCCTATTCCTGATAACATGAGAAGTTTAGGTGAATTGAAAACTCCAGCTGAGATTATTACTTCTTTTTGAGCATAGAATATACGCTTTTCATTATTCGTGTTCACTTCAACACCTATGGCAACATTATTGTTATCAAAAATTATTCGTGTTGCTAAAGCATTCCTTAAAACTATAAGATTAGAGCGATCTTTGATTGGTGACAAGAAAGAATACGCAGTACTCTGACGAGCAGTTTTATCGTATGTAAACATAGGTTCTGTAAAACCCAACATAGAATCACCATTGACATCTGACACTATTTTGTGACCAAGTTCATGAAATGCTTTCAAATATATTGCATCTTCCTTGCGTTGAGCTTTTGTTACTCCTAAATATCCATCTTCTCCATGAAAGCTCCGAGCTCCTGAAGTAATAGAATTGAAACTTAGAAATCTTTCGCTTTTTTTAAAATCGGGTAGTACGTTACTAAAAGTCCAACATTCATCATTCAGTAGAGCAGCCCAAGCATCGTAGTCGCTCGGAGATCCTCTAATGTAATTCATATAGTTGAGACTACTGGATCCTCCCAACATTTTCCCTTGAGTTAAAGCAGGGAAATCGCAATTATGATGTGTACATACTTTGTCTGTACTTGTAAAATTCCAATCAATTGGTGAGTTTTTGAGGTAAGCCACTAACGATGGTAACTGAAAATATAATAATGATATAAAATCCCTGGACAATTCACACAGCACCATGTAGTCTCAAGCTAAGCAGAGTATATGCTATAAATACATGGATTTAAAACATAGAAAATACTCAGACTGATAGAAACAATCATATTCTAGAATACAAATGTTTGTACCATGCAAGGAATCGAACCCGCGACCATCGGAAGTAAAGCTAAACTGCTAGATTCCTGCGGCCGACAAATATAGTAACAATACAACAAATTTAGAATTTTAAGTCTTCTCTTCATATTGATTGTAGACAACCATTAAATTGCATCTCCAGAAATGCCATAATTATTTATAGTAATTACAATAGCATATAATGGAAAATTCCTTATTTAAATAAATTTTCATTGAAGCACTTTTGAATAGTCATTACTTTTTTTAATCTACCACTCATTCGGAAAGCTGTGTCATCACAAGAAGAACGAGCAAGAAATTTGCGTGTTGCTCTTTAAATAATGAAGTTGTAACTTTATATTTTTAGTTGACATGTGTGAAGATGAACTTTCAATTAGTACAAATTCATTATCAATAGTGTCTTACTATGGTTGAGTAACTAAACAAGAGTAAATCAGTCATCAGTCGATAGAAAAGTATTTTCTATTTTCATATTAATAGACAGAAATAATGATACTTGGTTAATTTTCCGTTACCGTTAAACAGATTTAAGAAATATATCATCATAGTCGCCAAATTTAAATGTTACATTAAATATTGTGTCAATTACCGTAGTTTCTAATGGAGGGTTCCCCCCGGCCTCTATTAGCAGTACTGTTCTCTGTGCATCCTCAGATAGTCTGTTCGCTATAACAGCTCCAGCAGATCCAGCACCCACTACTAAGTAGTCAAACTTACATTCATCTGTTGGTATAGAATTTTTAAGTTAGTATCTTTCTGTGTTTGTACTACTAGGATGTATGTAATTTCTGCCTGTTAAGGATTATTTATTTTAATTATTTTGTCTTCCATTGCCTACGTATAAATCGTTGCTTAAAAATTAACTTTTTATTACTTCAATGTCCTTTGTTTCAACAATAACATCAATAACATCTGGGTCCAAGATAAGCAGAGCTTGTGTTATAGATTCTAGACAACTGATATATTTTTTTTTATAAATAATATATTAAATATAATTTCTCATAGGAAACTCCCAGACCAATACAACAATCAGTCTCATGATTACAATGGTATTGTGCGAGAAATTGAATCAGCGGCATAACTAAAGCGAAGTGCTAAACCGTAATCGATGCCGTCAATTATTCACGACTATCATTATAAGATATTATTTAGTAAATCTTATATATAAAATTCTCGTGTCACAGTTTTCGTTCCCATACTCCTCCGAAACGGCTTGACCGATTCTCATGAATTTGTGAGCGTATTGAGTAGGTCTGAGAAATGGCCAACATCTATTTTTCATCCCCCTAAATGTTAGAGGTAGTCCACCCCTAAATATGTATTTTTTAGACAAAATTTTTATTTTCTAGTTTTTTATGATACAACATACAAAAATACATACAATACTAAATTTTCACCCTTCTATCATCAACCCCTATTTTTTTATAGCGTTATTAATTTATATGGCAAAACAACGTTTGCCGGGACGGCTAGTAAAATATAGATAGATGGAAATTATAAGAAATTTACACTGAACAATATAATACAATACAATATAATATCGTACCTTCCAAGTTAGGTTGTGGTGAATACAGATAAGCTGTTAACTGAAGATACGTTGTCAATAAGTTCATAGCATTTTGTATACTTCGAACAGTCGTCAAAGTGGGCGATATCATTTTGCATCAATCTGAAATTTCAATATTAATTCTATAGTCTTTCTTATTTATATTATACTAGCTGTTCCCTCGACTTCGTCCGCGTGGAATTTAACTTTATATTTCTAAAATAAAAGTAGCATAAGTTACTCCTAATTACATCAGCTACCTGCCAAAAAAAGTCCCGTCAAAATCGCTCCAGTCATTTTAGAGATTAGCCGGTTATAATAACAGTTAATAATAATAAAACTTAAATTTTAAAGCTACTTACATTGACAATATATTACATGAGATTGTTACTCTATGGTTAACTTATTTAAATAACTTTAATGCACGTTTTATGTAAGTAAAAAGTACATATGGTGGACTTAACACCTAAAGCCAAATTAGGTGAAACAAACCGTATAACTGCCTTAAATAGTATTAGTTATCGGAAAACTTTTTATCTGTCTGCATTTTTAAATTACATTAAAATATCTTGTTTCTATATTAGTTTTATTTAGATATAGTTAAATTTACGCTTGCATTTTAAATTAAATTAGTGGATAAAACGGTAATTGAATATTTACATTTGTTGTATTAATTAGACGTTTTAACTGTATTCTCATTTCTATTTCAATTCGTATCTAAGTTTAGTAAGTTAAAGTTATATTGTCTGGAATAATTTTTAACTTACTAGCTTAGCTCGCGGTTTTATCCGCATGAAATTTATAGCCTTATGTAGAAGCTACATTACTGTAAAGTTTCATCGAAATCCGTTCACTAGTTTCTACTTGAAAGAATAACAAACATCCATCGATACTTTAAAAAAAAATGCGTTTATAATATTAGTAATATATATTAATGTATGTGTATTTTTTTTTAATGTGTAATGGGAGCTACTCTAAAACCAGCACTGTATAGGTGCCAATCATTGAAGTTGGGCCCATATCAGCAACAGCTGAGGCAGCTCCTATTGCCAACTTTGTATGTTATTTTTTTTATTTTGTCTATTATTTGTAAATTGTTGTGTTATTTTAGCAATAAATGGATTATCTATCTATCTAGATATCTTAATCTATAGCTGTTACCCGCGATTTTACCCCTAAGGTACTCTATATAACATTAGCTATCTGCGAGTGAAGGTCCCGTCAAAATCGGTACAGCTGTTTCAGAGATTAGCAAGAACAAACAGACAGACATTTTTTTTATTAATTTCTTTATATAAATGCCGTATCGTTTCTCTAAGTACATTTGCATATGTACTTAGTTAAACGCTGTTAATTTAATAACAAACAGACACATAAATTTTATTTATTTGTATAGATGTATAATATTTATATTTATTTAAACACATAGCATAGTATTAATATTTTTATATTATATATTACATATTATATATATTATTAATACGCGACTTCGTCCGCGTGGAATTTTACAACATTACTTAATTTTTCTAAAATAAAAGTAGCCTAAGTTACTCTTTATTACATTACATTACATTAGCTACCTGTTAAAAAAAGTACCGTCAAAATCGGTCCAGCCAATTCAGAGATTAGCGGGAACAAACAGACAGACAGACAGATAGACAAAAATTGGTAAAATAATACTTTGGTGTATGTACAGTATTTATATTCATATGCATGTAGTAAAAAACGGTTATTTCGATATTACAAACAGACACTCCAATTTTATTTATATGTATAGATATATTTTCAAATGAATATAAGATTTAAGATAATATTTTACGATTTATAAGAGGTGGACTATAAATAGTCGTCTGTCTGGAAAGGTGTCCAGACACACTGAGGTCAGTCTCACCTATTTTAGCCCCCAAGCAGTTTACTTTGTAAGCTGTAAGGGTGCCATTAGTGAAATTACAGCATAGGATGTCTAACTTCTTAGTACTTTGGAATGGCAATACATCATAGCGATCTACTGTATGAAGAGTCGTGACTCATTAAGAGAGAAATTCAAAGAGGCAAGTATTCTCACCGTTGCTTCTCAATTTATATATTCAAATATCCTATATGTTCATAAAAATCTTGACTTATTTCCAAAAAACAGCAATATTCATAATATTAATACTAGATTTAAAGACAAACTTGCTGTCCCCAAGTATCGTTTAGAAAAAGTCAATAGGTCTTTTATGGGAATAGGTATAAAATTTTACAATAAGATACCAAAGGATATATTGGAATTAACCTTAAATAAATTCAAAAACATCTGTTAAATCATATTTACTGAGCAAGGCCTATTACTCACTAAACGATTACTTGAATGACGAGCGTGCATGGCAATAGTTTTCATGTTCGGGATTTTCATTTAATGTTAGACATAGACACCTATATAAATACCTATATATTGTAAATAAACTGGCTTTTAAAAAAAAGTAATTCAATTGAGTTTTTTGCCAGTTCTTCTTAATTGGATCTATATACCGAACTGGACGGTAGGGAAAAACAATTATAATGTAAAAACTTGACGTTCATATGCAGCTAAAATGTCCTACATGAATAAATGATTTTTGAATTTTGAATTTTATATAGGCAAATATTTCTTCCTTTCTGTAGGCACCATTTTACAGTATGAGGGTACGTGAGAGGTGTACAGTTTGTCTTCCTAATTAAATTCTTTACCACAATTAACCTCGTCATTTACAGCTTAATGCCCGCATGATGCCAGCAGTGTGCGCTAGAGACAACATAATACTTCTTTCTCTTTCCCTCATATAGGAGATAACTGCTCTTCATTAGTAACCGTTTAGTAGTGAAAAGGTAAGAAGTAGACAGACAGACTTTTTCATTTTAATACGTATTAGTACGGATAATGATTGCTTTGTGGATATATTAGGTAACAGAAATTTTAAAATGCAAATTTAGAAATAGTTTTAAGCGGAAATGTTATCTTTAATTTAGACACAGTTCTACATTTTTGAATAAAATATTATGTTCAGTGTATTTTTTTATTTCTTAATGTTTTCTTATAATCCTCATTTGAATAGATTTAGAAATAGTTTATTTTTGTTCTTATTAAAAAAACTTCGACTCCTTTAGAACTCCACGTGACCAAAAATATAATGAATATAGAAGATTTAATTAGTATCATAGGAGTCGAGTAGTCGAGAGTCGTATCATACGACAGCCTGATCCGAGAATCAAACCCCCTAGCGGTGCCCTCAGATTAAAGTCGTATCCGTTAGGCATTGGTAGTCCTTCGACCGCTCTACAAGTCCTTCCTCGAGTTTGAGTGTCATCTGCACTCGCCCTCTATCGTCCGGTGCAAAGGCCAGCTGCATCCAAATTCAAACCCCTAGCGGAATCTTCAGATTAAAGTCATATCCATTGGGTAGGAGTTGCCCTTCGACCAGTCTATAAGTTTTTCATCGAGTTTGGAGAGCCATCTGTAATTGTCCTCTATCGTCCAAAGGTCAGCTGCAGCTAACAGCATTGGAGTAGTCTGAAAAAGAAAATGTCACATGATAATGTGATTTCCGTAGTTAATGTATATAAGCGACGGTTACCATTTACCATCAGGTGTAATTTAGCATTCCGATTACAAAAGAAATAATCAAATGTTCTTAAATGTAATAACCCATACGAGGTACATAAAGATGTTCATGTTGATACAGCTGTTATAAATTACAATTTTCCAACTGGATCTATAGATTGTAGTAATGTGTTTTTTTCTTTGATGATAATAGAGAGATACTTCCGCCTACGCAAATAGTTTTCGCTGGCGGTTCACCAATGCAGGAAGATAAGATGAGCATGAGTAGAGATGTGTCAACTCGAGTTGCGGTAAATTCGAGTTAACTTGAGTTGAATTCTGCCAACTCGAGTTGGAATGAACGAATCAAGTGAAAGAGCGATTCTGTCGTCGAACCTACAATGATATGAAATTATCCGATCATTTCATATCATACAATTTTCACTCATCACAAATGTTTCAATATTGATTTCAGGTCGTTATCATTTATTTTTTCGCATATCCATCCGGTTATGTTATCACTAAAATTATTATGCGTTCTATAAGTCCTTCCGCCATTTCTGCTCGCCCCCTACGGTTCGGTGAAGCTTTCAAGGCTAGCTGTGGCCAAATAATTATTAGAAAAAATTAAAAATACAACAAAAAAAACTGTTTATTCCAGGTAACTCGGGTCAACTCGAGTTAACTTTTAAGTTACCTGAATTTGAACTCGAGTTACGTTTATTACGAGTTAGCACATCTCTAAGCATGAGGTCAATTTGGTTAGCGCATCGGGACAAATTCGCCAGGAATTTACCACAATGCTGTCTATTAGGGCATAGGTCCAATAATAATTAGTCTTATAATAGAAATTAATTTTGAATATGATTTTTGCTACTATTCTTTACGTGTATTGTTTTTGTTAGGGAAAATACTATATTTGGAAGCGTATATCTGTATGGTCATATCTCCATTAATTCATATCATCTTTCACACAATCCATCCATTTTTTTAGGGCTTCCTCTCCCTTTCCATCGATCAGGTTAGTTAGCACATCGTGACAAATTTACCAGGAATTTATTACGATGGTTTCCAGGGGAACTGAGCAACCCGACATGGTACATTGTTAGCAATGGAGTCATTAGTCTAAATTATTAACAATCCCCTTCTCCCATTCCCCTTCCCCATTCCCCTTCCCCTTCCCCTTAAAAAAAAAAAAAAGTAATTCAATTGAGTTTCTTGCCAGTTCTCAATTGGATCTATATTCCGAACTGGACGGTAGGGAAAAAAATAAAATTAGAATGTAAAAATTTGACGTTCATAAGCGGCTAAAATGTCCTACATGAATAAATGATTTTTGAATTTGAATTTGAATTTGTAATGTCCTGAGCAGTGGGGCCCCATTTTTTGATTTGCCTCAGGGCTCTAACTACGCCACTGCTTATATATTACGTACCTACTTACAGCTGGTTAGCCAGTTCATATAACTCTACAGTTGTACATTTGTGATAGGTATTATGCTACTTTTGTATCTAATTTATGTATTTACTTTTACTCATTAATACATGTAAGTA